CGAAGTCAGTGCAACTGGCCAGTAGTCATTCAGGGATGAGGGCTTGTTCTTCTTGGGCACAGGGAGGATGGTGGATCTTTTGAAGCATGTGGGAACCACAGACTTCACCAGGGACTCATTAAAGATGGAAGTGAACACACCTGCTAGCTGCTCAGCACAGCACAGCTGCAGACGGCCGGTGATGTCGTCTGGCCCCGTTGCTTTCCTTGTGCTCACTCTCCCCAGTGCCGCTCGGTCGTCGTGCTCCACAATGCTGATCACCGGTCTTTCGCTGATTGCATCACTGTCCTCAGTTGTCAGGCGGTAGTTAGCATTAACCTCAAAACGGGTATAGAATTTGTTCAGCGTTGGTGAATGAAGAGTCGGCGTTGGTTGGCGCAGTATCCCTGGCTTTGTAAACCGTAATGGTGCGTAGTCCGTGCCACATGCTTCATGTATCGCCCTGGTGGAAACGAGACTCCACGCACTCCCATTACTGGCATTTGGCATCTCTCACCGTGTGCTGTACGCCGTATGAGGCCGCTTCGTAGCCAGTGGCGAAACCCACATTGTAGCTGGCAGTCCTGGCGTTCACTGCAGCGCGGATCGATCTGTCCACCCAGGGAATGTGGTGACTCTCGCCGTGTGGATAATCTCCTCTGCTACCATGTTGACGAAGCTTACTGCTTCCATAAACTCGTTGTTGTCGACTGCACATGCTCTTAACATGTCCCACTCTACGTCGTTGAGTGCATCCTGTAGCGTAGCTTCTGATTGGGCAGACCAGCGTTTCACCTCCCTCGTGGTTACTTCTTCCTTCCATATGTTTTGTTTATACTGAGGGATGAGGAAGATGGTGTTGTGGTCAGACTTCCCAAAAGCTGGGTGTGAAACACTTTTGTAGCCCTGCTTGTATGGCGTGTAGCAATGGTCCAAAACTTTGATCCCCCCTCGTCGGACATGAGACATGTTGTTAGAAGTTCAGCATGACCTGTCCAAGGTATGCTTTATTAAAGTCTCCTCTCAATGAGAGCTGCGCCCAGGTCCTTGTTTTGAAACGAACTCAGCACATCATGTAGTTCGGACATGTGTCCGCTTTGGGTGACTGAGGTGAACTCACGGGGCAGATACAAAGGGATCACTTAATGCTCAGGAATTTCAGATGTGGCGAGCAGCCACTAGAGAGAGCAAAAATGCTCCTGGCGTCACACCACTTTCTGTTAACCATGAGACACACTTCTCGACCTTTGGGGTTTTTTTTACTCTGCCGTTCTGTCCGCGTGGAGCACAAAGAATGAATCCGACGGAGTTAAGGCCTGGTCTGGCATGGTGGGGGTCAGCCATGTCGCCGTGAAGCACAGAATGTTGCAGTCTCTCATGTCACATTGGAAGGTGACTCTTGCTCTTAGGTCATCGAGCTTGTACTCCAGCGATTGTACGTTGGCCAGTAGGAGGCTGGGCGGTGGTGCCCGATGCGTCCGCTGTCTCAGTCTGTACCGAACGCCGGCACGTTTACCCCGGCGCTTCTTTGTTCTTTGCCTCGGGTGAGCAGCCTGACCATTGTTGTTGGCTGTGCCTTTCTCGGGAGGCCAGGGTGGGTCAGGTCTAAACGTGTCCAAGATTACATGTGCAATCTTGTCACTGATGTTTAGAAGTGATCTGCTGTCATAGACCATAAAACTAGAAGATTTTGGGATGTAAAACAGAGCGAAAAATTTGTGAACAACTAAAAAGGTGCATAGTCTGAGCGGAGTGGTCAGGAAAGCGTCTGGATGTGGCCGCGCCATCTTAAGATTTGAGAAGTTTTATGTTATTATTGGAAGATGTCAAAATACTCCCAATCTTTGGATATGTTTTGCCTTTTTTGGTGGCTTTATATGCTTTCAATCTCCAACAAGCTATTGATGATCTTTAGAATCATCTCAGGTCCAGATCATGCAAAAAGCTAATTCCCACATCTTTTTCAACAGCTTGGATCACATAATGGGGCAGTCATGTCATTTCAGAGAAATTGGACTGTTTATTTTTGGTTTTCTGTGAAGGTTCTCCATCATCCAGGTCATCATAGTCTAAAGAGCTTGTAAAGAAAAGCATCTGGACTTCTCTAAGTTTCTTGAAGACTTTTCACCTCTCATCTGGGAAGCTTCTTCAGTTCTAAGAGCAAATGGTGGAGAGTCCCAGATTTTAAGCCCTATGGGAGTGTCCCTAAGAGGGTCATGGGCCCCTATTGATCCTCTGCCTAATCACACAAGCTAAGGTGTGAAACAAGTGTGGTCACAATCAGCCAAGGTTTCAACAAAGTTGGACTCAAAAACAGCACAGAGGCACTAATCCTGGTAGCAAAGGAACAAGCACCAAGTACAAGAGCCAACTGAGATAATCCATCAACAATGCCAGGTTAGTCATTAATATACTGCAACAGCATGGGAATAGAGCAGCTGTGAGAGAATTCAACATTAATGAATCAATGGTACGGAAGTGGAGGAAGCAAGAAGAATGAGTTGAGTAAAGTTTGACTTTTCTGACTATTTTGTTTCATTTAATGCGCCTTATAACCTTAGACCCATTCATCGACAGTGCGCCTTATGGTCCGAAAAATACAATATACAGGAACATCTGTACCGAGCATGGCCTGGAAGTCCCAAGGTCAAAATGGGACACGCCCCATGGGCAAGATACTAGCCCAGATTTGCTATCCAATAGATTAATGTTAAATAGAAAGTGCTTAGAAAGAGCATAGAAAGAAGTTCTTGTGGAATGAGGCAAGTTGTGTAAAGTGCTTTGAGTGCTCAGAGTAGAAAAGCAGTCAATTTACCATTGACCATGATTGTGAGCTAGGATCCAGTGGGGCATCCAAATACATGATAGGATGCAGCGATACCGAATGACAACAGGAAAAAGGAACAAAAGAAGCTGGATAAGTACCAAGGGCTGGGAGAACAGTTTAAGAAGATGTGGAAGGTGATGGTAACAGTGGTTCCAGTGGTAATCGGAGCACTCGGGGCAATGATCCCTAAGCTGGGTGAGTGGCTGCAGCAGATCCCAGGAAGAACAGAAGAGCACAGTCCTAGGAACGCAGGGTCCTCAAGCTCCCAGGCCTCTGGTAGAAGACCTGAGCTTGAAGGATAAAGACTGCCTGCAGACAAAATGGGGAATATCTGCCTATTTATTTGATATAGTGGTAGGACTTTCTTATAAATTTTTACATTGCATTCCATTTATACTAGAAAGGCATGTTATACTTTATGCCTTGTGCAAAGTTGTGCAAAGGGAATTTTCCAGATCCTAGGTATATTTTAATAAAAATGTGTGCTACAGTGAGATGCTGAGAAGTATTTACAATAATATGTTGAGGAATTTTACCCTTAAATTAATATAATTTGGCATGCAGTTTTTTATGCAGTTGTGTTTTTTTGTAACACATTGTTGCATCTCTGTTCATATTTACTTCTGAGAAACTCTGTACTGTAAACAGGAAACCACTGAACACTGAAAAGAAGCAGCTAGACAGGAAGAAGGGGGGTGGAGTGGGGTTGTCCTCAGATGTCAACTCAGCAAAGACTTAACATTAATAATGTTAGTCAGCATGATGGATGGAACATCTCTGCTGTGGCTGCTCTGTAAGTTGAGTCTCTCTTTATGTCTGGGGTATGATTTGAAGACAGCTGTTTAAATGACAGTAGATTGTTATATAACTACATTGGGGAATTAAGATGGAGTCAGATTAATGGGCATATTCAGGGGCACTTACATCCTTTCTTTGATGGAAAGAGTAACTGATGATGTGACAATTAGCAGGGAAGAAGGAAAAGAAGCTCAAACAAACAAAAAATATATTGGAATGTGTATGTTTTATATAACTATAAACACAAAAAAAAGTAAAGTCTTTAAAACAGTTTTACCTGTGCTTAAAACCATTAGAGCCATTAGTACATTAGAGCATGGTTTGCTGCTTCCTTCCAGTCTGAAGCACCTACGGTGCAAACTAACACCAGTCTATGTTTCATACACTCTGCAGTGCTCGCAAAATTTCAACATCCCTGGTAGCCCTTTGGGCAGGCACTCTTCAGTTTTTGGTAGCCCAAAATAAATTTAAATAGCCCGAATTAAAAAAAGAGAACAATTTTTTGATTGTTGTTTTGTTTCCTTTACAATATTATACATTAAAGTATAATATTGTAAAGGAAACAAAACAACAATCAAAAAATAGTTAAAATACATATTACAACAACTGTATAAAAATTATAATCATCAACTCAAATATTTGGTTCTAATTGAACAGAATTTTCTATGAACTTGTAAGAACTGTGTAGAACATGAATCAGTCTATGTCAGATCCTGAATTTGAAATTACCACTGAAATCATGGGTAAGAGGCAAGTGGAACCAAGATCTAGGACATTTGCTCTTTCAAGTTTGCTAAGACTGCTAAATTTTGCCAATGGTAGTTTACTCTTTGCAACATAGTACGCTGTTCTAAACAGCTTTTTCAGGACTTCTTGTTGTGCTTGGTTTATTTTTAGTATGTTTTTTGCAATTGGTGTTTGTTCTGGGAAAGATACTGCAGACTGAGCAATAATTGCAATCGCTAGCGAGCCCTGCTCTGAGGTTTCAAAGCAGAGAATTTTTTTTAAAAGTAACCCCTCTCTCTCTCTTTTTGCAGTTCTGATCACACTTGAGAGCTGCACAACAAAAGAAGGTTAGTACATTTCTTCTATCACAGTTTAAGTGATTTTTTTTCATCTACATGTTTGTCCTTGGATTGAACTAGAGTTCATTCACTCTAGGATGTCTTGATGCATGCTCAATCAACTCTCTGTGAATGGTACTCATGGCCATTGATCAGTGGTTGTTGATCAACAGCCTTAATAGGTAGGTATAGGTAGGTGTTGATGAATGTTGATGAGAATTTGCATACTAATGATCAAGGAACTGACCTCCCAGCCCATTGTTCATTCAGTAGTGCTAATTTCAGTCATTGTGCAAATGCACTGTTTATGAGGTTGGGGAAAACTACAGTCAGCTGAGACTGAAGAAGTCACTTGGATTAGTGGTGAAACATTTCTCCCACTGAAAATGCTATGTCCAGATGAACAGAATCAGCCTTTTCGGATTCACTCTAGCATGCAACTCAAAAAAACCCAAACCTTACCTATCATTTTCTCTGCCCTGTATTACAAAGAAAGTTCACCATACCTAGGGTATCTTTCCTTTTTTCACTTACCCTGATATTAAGTCAGGCTAATTAATGGCATCAAGCTGGGTATTAATCAGTCACGATTTGTTGGTGTTGTTACCAACATGACATGGGTCTGTCTGCAGTATTTGTATACTTCTAAAATCCCAAAAAGTTCTGTTCATCTCGACATAAGGTTTTCAGTGGAAGAAACGTTTCATCACTCATCAAGTTACTTCTTCAGTCTCAGCTGACTGCAGGTTTCCCCAAATCTTATAATAATTTATAATTTGTCAAGGGTTCATCCTACATCAAGAAGATGACCCAAAAAATAATTCCAATCTATGCCAGAACTACCTCAGGGAAAAGGTACAAGATGGTAAGCTTGAAAACAAGGAGTGGCCAGTAAAGTCTCCAGACTTAAACCCCATTGAGATGGTTTGGGATGAACTGGACAGAAGAGAGAAGGCAAAGCAACCTGCAGGTGCCACATTCGTGGGAACCTCTGGAGCAGATATGGGAGGAACTTTTTGAAGAATATTTGATTTCTATTGTAGAAAGAATGCTGTGTTTAGTGTTCAGGATAGGTACGTTATTTCCTGGAATAACAGCAAGTCAGGAAAGAAAGGTAGATTGTGAGATTGGTCAGAGTCATCATCAGCTGTTATCACTGCCAAAGGTGGCTACTTTGATGAGTCTAAAGTTTGGTCTATAAATTTATTTCATGATTTCTTGTTTACCTCCAATTGTTTATTTGTTCTGTGCTTTCATTTCAGAGTATGAGAAACTGAGCTGTATGGGTCCTCAAAATATTAGGGATTATTAGGGATTAGGGTGCCACAACAACAGTCTGTAAGGTAGAAAACTTACAATAATATTAGAACTATGTCATTGAAATGGATCCTATCTCTCCCCCACAGCTTGCCTGAACGTAAATCCCATCAGCTCTCAGTTCTTTAAAGGCAACTTTGTGTGCCTCTGAGCAACTTTATGATATTGCTTTTAAATATCCTAGGAACAACATGTCACCTAGCACCAGCATGGTACTAATGATATTTGGACTGATCCCCCCACCTCTACGATGTAATTACACAAAACTAAGATTGTGGAACAGGTGAAATAATTTAAAACATGCACATGCAGGATATATGTTAAAGGGGTGGTCAAAATAATAAGGCTAGTTTTCAAATGTTGACTACTGATGGTATTATTCTAGAACCACTATTTTGTTTTGTTAAAAATCGATTCATATCATCCCCTCTCCTTCCCAGCTCGTCTGACTGTGAGTCCCAGCAGCTCTCAGTTCTTTAAAGACGACTTTGTGTCTCTGAGCTGTGAGGAGGACGACAGCTCTGCTGGATGGACTCTGAGGAGAAACACAAGCAAACGACAGAGGACTCAATGTGGAGATGGGTGGGGAAAACCAGCCGGTTCTTCCTGTAAAATGAGCTACATTAATCCACTGGAAAGTGGAGTTTACTGGTGTGAGTCCAGAGAGGGTCCCATCAGTAACATGGTTAACCTGACAGTCACTGGTAAGCTGAGTGGGTGGAGTTAGTGTTGATGAAGCTGTGTGTAAATGGATGAAATGCTGTAGTTTGTCTCTGTGTTGAGGTGGATCAGTGATCCTGCAGAGTCCTGTCCTCCCTGTGATGGAGGGAGATGACGTCACTCTGCTCTGTAAAACAAAGACCACTCCCTCCAACCTCCCAGCGGCTTTTTTCAAAGATGGCGTCTTCATTGGGAGGAATAACTCTAAAGGCCATATGACCATCCTGCATGTTTCCAGGTCTGATGAAGGCCTCTACAAGTGTGACATCAGCGGTCATGGAGAGTCTCCATCCAGCTGGATCACTGTCACAGGTGAGGAACTTCACTCTGATTACACCTCTTATTTGTTCAATATAGTCACCTGAACAGGTAGGATTGTCTCTGCAGGAAAGCCTACATCCACAGCCAGACCTACAACCACATCTCGCCTGATTTCTGGAGCTTCATATCCTGACTTAACATTAATGTGCCACCTGGTGGTGTGTAGTCCATATTTCATCTACACCCTTCTCTCATGGTGTTTTTATAGTGAGCCACTATAGGTAATATTCACTAATCCATCTTTGACTCAATCATGACAGCTGATGATGTCTTGAACCAATCTCATGATCTACCTCTCCTTCGTGACTTGCTTTTACTCCAGGAAATGACTTACCCATCCTCAAGGAGTTAACCCTACCCACAGAGGCCGAGTAAAGACAGGATGAGGAGGTCAATAATGTAACCAAAAGCTTCACTTGAACAAACACAAACTGGATGAACACAGTGTGGTTTCTCTCAACTGTTTCTATTTTGCTTTTGTTTAAATGTTTACTTTTTACAACTTCATGAACCTTTGTCTGTAGATTTTTTTACAGTTCATTATAGTATGGCTCTTTTTGCCATCTCATTTCTGAATGAAGCAGTAGACTCAATTTCAGAGTAAAAGACATTACATCTAAATAATTCTTTAAGGCTACAGTTAAAAAGCTATGTTAAGTCAAAATACACAGTTGTTCTGTGGCTTTGGTGCTTTTTTGTTTTTATTTTATTTTGTGTGCGTAGCCATTTCCCTCATCGATGTGTTTCAAAAATTGTGGTTTTGGCTGTCTGTTGATGTCAAATTTCTGGATCACCTCAGAATGCTTGGAACCCTGCCCGAGTAGGTACTAAAAAGTACCTGGTACCAGGTATTTAAATCTGATGGATCCTAGAAACTATATTGAGCCATGCCGAGGTGACCCAAATAGGTAATAATGGAAAAGGTCTAATAGTCTCTACTCAAAGCTCATGCAACCAGAATGCTCATACTCTTGAGTTTATTCTGTATTTCTAGCCATGATCTTGCCTCAGTGTTTCCTCCAATATAGGTTAGTCTCGTCTTCATGTGCACCTGTCTTGTCCCCCCTAGTCAGTCTATGTACTTCCTGCTTAACTTTGATAGTCTCCCGCCAGTGTACGTCACATTGTCCTTCATCCCTCTTTGTGTGTTTTCACCTGCTTAGTTATCTTGTTTAGTTTGATGTATATTTCCAGTTTAGCTTTGTATTTTCTAGCTACCAGCATGAGGGTGGCAAAGAAATCAAATGGGGTGGCAAAGCCTTTTTTAATAATAAGGCTTGTAATCTCTCTGTGTTCCTCTGTGTGTATTTAAGTTATGTCTTCTTATGTTGTAGTCGCTGGTCTGGCTGCGTATCTACCGTGTGTTTTCCCTGCTGTCACCATCCTGTACCTTTGTCTACACTCCTTCATGTTCTGGTTGTTGTTTTGCAGTTTTAGTATTGTCCCAGTTTAGTTTTGCATTTGTTCGGTTTTGCGATATTTCACCGTGTGCTTTATTTTCAATAAACCACCTCCACATCTCAGTGAGTGCACTTGGGTCCTCCTTTATTTCTCCACACGGCTCTTCTCACTTGCCGTGACACGTACTGTGTAGCCTTTATAATAACTAGATATGCAGTGTTGGGAAGGTTACTTTTAAAATGTATTCCATTACAGAATACAGAATACATGCCCCAAAATGTATTCTGTAACGTAT